GGGGATCTTGGGCACTATCGTGTTTGTTACCTCCATCCGCTTTGTAGTTTCTTTATTCGATCGCTGACTATCGGTTATCCCAGGCGAGACGGAACAAAGGTATCGATCTCGGATACGCATACTTACGGGTTCTTTGGCTTATTGTGCCATTACTGCATGGTGTACATGGAAAAGAGCGGCGAAGTCGAATCTTTCGGTGTGCACGAAGCCACTAGCACGACAGTCAATCAGCTGACATCTCTTGCAGCGCAGCTGATCGCGTTTGTTAGCTGGTGTCTTCAACGATTCCGTCAGCTTTATCAGTCTGGAAAAGACGACACGCCGAAGATGGTGGCAATACGGCGCCATACACTGAGAGCCTGGCAGGCGACGACGAGCCAACTCAACCGCAGCCGGCTTGTACAGCGAGACAAAGGCTGGAAGCGCTTCTCGCTCTTGTGGCAAAGAGTGGGAGATCTCATCCCGCCGGTGCCAGATATGGAGGCGGACGAGGCTGCGTTCGAAGTGTTGCAGCGGTGCGGGTGGGGCGAGTGTCTGTGCAGCGTCCATAAGCCCGCGCATAGAATGAAGATATGTAAAGGCTGCTGGGTCGTCGCATATTGCGGGCCCAGGTGCCAAAAGAAGTATGTGCTAGCTCTGACCTGTTGTCCTCGGCGCGTTGGTAATTCTGACTGTGTTATATTCCAGTGACTGGGAGAACGGTGGGCATCAGAAGGATTGTCGGAAGTACAGTGGGTAGTTTGGCCCGAGCATATCAAGGTGTCTAAGGTTGATTGTCGCTCACGTTCGCTCTCAGAGGCCGGGGCATGTCGTTCCTGGTTTGAAGCGCGACTGCGTCGGAGCTGCTTGGACTCGCCTTCAGTTTGGCGTTACCAGTGCAGAGGTGAAGCTTTATATAACACCAGAATTATCTGCTGCGAGAACTTGAAGATTAGTCATTTCCCTCGAAATATGCCTACTGGCAAGAAGCAGTGCTTCGAGTCGGCATGTACTTTCCCGGGTTTTGTGCTGCGCTTACCATGCACCCGTGGCCGGCGTTTGCCTCATCGCGACTCGGGATTACCACTGTGCTATACGAATAAGCCTTGTTGAAACAAGCTGGCGGCATAGCCCTCAGTGTTTGAGAAGGCAGTTCGTATTTTGGTGCCTTACAGAGCACTCTGCTGATTGATGCAGGAGTTGGCCGGACGCATACTTAAGGGTTTTAGGTCTATTCCCGGCTTTCAAGCCTCTACGTTGTGAGGCCAGCCACTCGTATCAACAACTTTAACCCCATCCAACCCTCACGATGACCGTCGCAGTCCTCGCACTCCGCGATGTCCCGACCACTCTGAACTACTTTATCCCCGACCCGGAAACCGACGAGGCTCCCCGTATTTATGTCGGAGAGCCTCCGGCCGGAATAAAGAAGGACAACCTCGGCCGTGAGCCGCGCGACGTTGTCGTTCGCGATGCTCGTGGCAAGGAGAAAGAGTACGACCTCTCTCTCGACAAGTCCGGCTTCCAGTTCGCCGAGTACGTGAGCCAAGAGAAGGACTTTGAGGACGAGGAGAGGATCAAGGATGCGTACTACAAGGAGGTGGAGGAGCTGCTAAAGAAGGAGATCGGTGCGAAGAGAGTCTTCGTGTTCGGCCACATTCTCCGCTGCGCTGAGCCGGACTTTGTTAGTCCGCCAGGCAAGAACATCCATGGAGCTGCCGTAAGTCGACTTACGTTGCATGAGCTGGTGCACACGCTTAAGCTATCTACAGGTGTTCATTCATGTCGACCAGACTCTCGAGGCGGCCGTCGGGCGTGTCCACCGTCACCTCGGTGACGAAGCTGAACGCCTCTTGAAGGGACGCGTTCGTATCATTAATGTCTGGCGCCCCATTCGCAATCCTGTGGCACACAACCCGCTTGCTGCGTCGGACTGGCGCACAATCGATAAAGAACACGATCTTGTTTCTGTTCCCTTCATTCATCCCGACCAGCGCACTAATTCAGGTACGTATCTCTCGTGCGCAGCCTCCAAGTTTCACTCATAAGTCTTCGATGTGGTGCAGGCGTCTATGCCCTCCGCTACAACCCGAACCACAAGCGGTATTACCTTTCGGATCAGACTCCAGATGAGGTCACGCTCATTAAGTGCTACGACTCAGAGGTGGACCGCGCGCGGTTCACTCCGCATTCCGCATTCCTCGACAAGACTAGTCCTAAGGATGCGCCTTACCGGGAGAGCATCGAGGTCCGATGCCTGGTCTTTGACACGGAGTAGAGACCGCAGACAGCATGTGCTTGTTTCTGATCGCCGTGTACTATGTGGTAGCAGGATTTTCTAACGTCACACGCGGTTGCTCAGGAGCTCTATCGATACATTGAACATTTTGGATCGAGTCGGAAATTTGCAAGAGACTGAAAGCAGAATTAACTACGGCTGCGTGCTTGCTTGAGGGAGCTGTATTTTGCGCCCCTGTGTCGTGATCACCACATTCTCTATGAGTTTTAGCTTTCTTCCGATTACTTTTGTGGCGCACCGTAGAAGGTTCGGAACCATTTATCTTTTCATAGTTTCTCATCACCCTTGGTTACGCTTGACGTTCTCAAGCTTTAAGAACCCTCTCGGCCGGCCATCTACCAGTTAATCCTGAAAAAAATCAGCAGTGGCTCGAGGATGAATCTGGGTACTAGTACAAATGACGGGTTCCACTTGAAAGTCTTAGCACATTCGATATATCCTAAGACGTTCAAGTTAGGCCCGTCACTGTGCCCTCTGATACAAGCGAGCATGACTCTAGCAATCAGCGAGATGCGCCACTTCACTATGAACCCAATCGATAGCAACTTCTGAAGACGGGCCAGTCGGCCTCAAAGACTGGGATTAAAGATGGGCATGAATGGAGTGCCTCTGAACACAGCTGCCCCAGGCCGACTACCCAACTCCTGTAGAGGAAATGGGAATTCTAGAAGAGACATCCCACTGGATCTCGTTGCCGTACGCATAGATCCATATTGCCACCCGAGTGCATGCCGTTCAGACTTCCTGACCTGATCGTCACATCCTTCAGTCGACAGCTGGCTTGTTCTGATACCTACCCTAGCGCCGCTCGGGATAAGCGGCACACGTCAAAGATTGGCCAAACCCTGTTGAGGGTGTGTGTAATACAACTATGCTCTTTGATATGCAAGCGTTGCACATACGGCTGAAGCATCAAAGCACTGTCTGTGTAAAACCAAAACAGCTTGTGATCAAGTTACATGTAAATCAGGATAGGGTGCGCACGAATAGACAGCGGGCCTGAGGATAAGGCCATTGAGGAACCCTAGCTCAAGCTGTCACAGACATGACGGACGCCCGTTTGATAGCTTGAGTGAGGAGAACAGCGGACGACCCGTTCTGAGCGAGCATATTGGTGTTTTCGAGATCGTTGTTCAACCTGCAGAAGTATTCCATCGAGCTCCAACAAGTGCACCGTTTGCGCACATGCCGCGCGAATCGCGAGCAGACGCGGGTCAGGTAGAGGAGATGGTTCGCTTCTGGGATTGGCCCGGCTTCGAAGCAGACGGAGTGATCCAAAAGGGATTTGGATACGACGAAGCGATGATGTGCACGGGGTACATACTACACAAGCCGCGAGTCAATGCCAATAGTAAAACTCGGACTGAATAAACGTACCTCGTGCGGAGGAGTGTCTGTCGGTTCAAGTCAGAACTCCAGCCCATCAAAGCTTTGATACAACTCGCGCCACAGAATCAGAATGCTGGAAAGGTCGTGAGTCGTGCCGCCCGCATAGAAATTGGAGACAAGATCCGTGAGTCCAAGCGAACTCACAATAGTCAATCCGCTTGTCGCATGCTGCCCCTGTTGTGGCGTTCAGTCGAGAGCCTGCGTAATCAGAAATGGAATGGCACCACGTACCCTCTGTCGTTGGGCCGGATCGTACAGATTGTTGTCTTCCGCCGACGCTTCGGACATTATATGACAATACTGAGTAGAGGCCATCGTACCTTTCGACACTAGAACCGTACGTTTAGGGTAGGGGCTGTGGTGGAAGGATGACGCGTCGAAGTACTTTGACACCATGCAACGAAACCCATCACGAACTGAAGCCTGGGTATCAAGCATGTCTGTGAATCATGAATAGCCAATAGAGCTTACTACCCACCTGCTCCTTCGCCGATTCATAGTCATTTGCATACATGTCCAGGCAAGAACTAACCAAATCTTCTTGAGTATCGAAAACTCGGTGAGATGGGTAGTCGTAAGGGCGGGGAATAGGGCCTTTTGAGCTTCGAAATGTTCGCCATTAGAACACGCGCAAAGTGTTAGGGACGAGACAGTGTACGTACACGCTCCGAGGAGGCACTCGCGGTACAGCCTGCCAACCTGGTAGACGACTTCTGATGGGCCTTTACCCGGCGAGACAATCCCGAGAGCGATGCGTTCGACAGGTGTATCTTCCAGCAGCCGTCTGTACTTGTGGAAATTGATCATTAGAAAGCCAACCACCCTAGCGTTCATACGTTCATGACGTGCGACTTGTTGGCCAAGCTTGCAGTGACGCCTCGGTCTTCCTCAGCAGCCAGCACTAGATCGTAGGCATTTTGGATAGAGTGACTGGCCCACTGCAAGGCCGCGTTGCATGGTGGGAGCTTGAACTCAGACATGGTTGTGATAGAAAGGTCGAACGAGTGCTTATCAAGCAAAAGTGCTGGAAGTGAGACACCTTGTTTTGCCTCCGCCAGTCCGGCCCTTCCTGAGGTAAAATAATTAATTCGACGTCCTGAGACCTCTAACGTATACAGCTCATATTACATAACCTTAGAGAGTTTTTACTGCTGTGTGCGAACGAAAAATACGTTATACAGCCGCATTAGATTGTAAAGGCGCCACGAAGATCCCATATATACGGGTTCGACACTGAATATCGTGCTGTAGTGCTTGCTATGCCTTTTTGTTATCACCACGACCTCCAGTCTTCGATGCGAGAAGCTCACATGAAGCATGGAGTTCTTGCGGACCTTGGTCATTGTCATTGCTCCTTCAAGTTGCGGCGGCCCCTGCTGCCACCATCAGCTTCAGCCAGCTCTCACCAATGGAGCACTTGAATAGGCCCTGTCTGTGGCGCTCACATCTCGAGCAGAGTACTGTAGTAGAGCTAGATTTTCCGGCTTGTCACGTTTACGGCGAAAGGTCATGAAATATGCAGTAGGTCTAGAATCAAATATCAAGTACTCAAGCGCGCTTTACTTAGGACGCGTGTCTGCTCTCCACCACCACCACCTCCACCACCACCACCTTTTCCCCACACGCCCGCCATGCCAAAACGCGGTGCCTTCATCGTCATCGAAGGGCTCGACAGGTCCGGCAAGAGCACACAGGCCGCGACGCTGCTGCGTCGACTGCAGGACGCGCAGGTCTCGGCGAAGCTCATCAGGTTTCCCGGTCAGCACCTTCCCGCCCCCCTCCACGAGCCGTCGTCCTCACGCCTTGTGCTGCTTACACCCACACCCTGTACTGTCCCCTCTCGCTCTGACTTCTCTTCCGCACGGCGACATTGAAGACCGGACGACGCCCATCGGGAAGATGATCGACGCGTACCTGCGCTCGGAGAGCGAGCTCGACGACCACGCGATCCACCTGCTCTTCTCCGCCAACCGCTGGGAGCTCGCGTGCGTCCCCCTTTCTCTCTCTTCCTCTCGCATGCACACACACACACCCCCTGCTGACACCGCGCCCGTCCAGGCCGTCCATCGAGCAGGCGCTGCGCGCGGGGGAGACCGTCGTCTGCGACCGGTACGCGTTCTCGGGACTCGCCTTCTCGGCGAGCAAGGTGCGGCCGGGCTCGCAGGGGTACCCGCTGCTCGCGTACGACTGGTGCCGCACGCCCGACGCGGGCCTGCCCGCGCCCGACGTGACGCTCTTCCTCGACGTCTCCGCGGACGCGGCTCAGCGGCGCGGCGGGTACGGCGCGGAGCGCTACGAGCGCGAGGACGTGCAGCGGCGCGTCCGCGACGTCTTCGTGCGCATCGGCGACCAGGTCGAGGCCGCCGGCGGGCGCTGGGAGGTCGTCGATGCGGACGAGCCCGAGGAGGCCGTCCGTGATGTCATCTGGGATGCGGTCAAGGACCTCGTAGAGGGTGTCGATGCGCCGCTCGGGAAACTCTGGGACGACAAGCGAGAAGCAAGCAATGTCGAGGCTCTGTACATGTGAAATTCCGTGCGCAAAAACAGCCAAGTTGTATTTCAGTCTCAGAAAAGATATTTTACACATTACACACCCAGAACACGATAGTCTGTAAGATAGTACTGGTACAGCCCACGAGACAGAATGGATAGGAAGAGTGGTAACGATTGTGCAGTGCTGATTTAGAGAGAAGATCCAGATGAAACCTACGAAGGAGAGTTGTAAAGCCTATGTGGCCATGTCATGAACGTGTTTAATTGGTATTGAGAACATCAAAGAGCCCTTTCTTGGTCCATGAGAGTCCAACTTTTAGCTGGAGGAAAGACGAGAGACGAGCACAGCCAAAACGAGGACAACACCCCAGCGCCATTTCTCCCAAACGAGTTGCCGAATTGAGGTTGTCCAGCCGCCGGTGGCTGTACCCAGTGCTGGCACATTGCTCTCCGGCGAGCTGGAGGATTCGCGGCTGTTGAGCAGCGGTGTCGCAGGTGTTGACGAAGAAGGGGTGGTGGGTGTCTGCGCCGTCAGCGACGGAGACACAGGGGAGCTAGGAGCAGTACGTGGAGAAGCAGGGGCCGGCTCCGCTTCGGGCTTGGAGGGTTTTCCTCGTTCCTTCATACCCATGTTTGGCACATCGCGCGGAGTCGGTGTGCAGTGCTACGGGGTATATGCTAGTCAGCTGCGTTCCTCTCGAAGCATTGAAAGTAGGACACACATCAGGGAATGCCTCTCTGAACCGCCGCTGTTCGATATTCCACGAATGGCTACGAGCCGCATAAGCACGCTTCTCCGCATCACTGGTCGTCACTGATCCGGTGGTCATCTCGTCGGAGAGCATGAACGACAACAGGCCGGTCAATCTGATTATCAGCAAGATTAGCACAGCCGTGGATAAACCGAGAGATCGTGACTTGCATGGTGGCGACGCTCCAAGCTGGATTCCACTGATAGCCGTGGTTAGTATGCACGACAGCTGGCATAGATGCAGAGTGCTCACAGTTCCTGGGTGAAAGTCGGACATGGAGAAGCAGATCTTGCGGTCTGGTTGGAAGCGGCCTGAAGGAGTCATCATCTGCCGTAACTTCAGTACATCCCCTACTAGTGTGGAGCAACGAAGTTGAATACCTTGATACCTGGAGGCTTGAAGGGATATTCGGACGGAAAGAGGAGGACACCGTGATACTCTCCGCCAGCGAAGGGTGAGTCGGGTGGGCCGCGCTGGGGGAAGATCAACACAGGTTCAGAGATTCCAAGGATGGACATACGATGATGTAGTTCCCTGGGAGACATGTCAGTAACAGCCAAGGACGCAGAGGAGGAATACGCACAAGTCAGGATGTTCTTCTCATCTGGCACTGCCCAGACGAACGGAGGAGGCTCGCGCTGCATAGCAACATATTCCTTTGTAAGCTGTGTTTCGCAGGGCAAAAATGAGAATAATTCTGGGGGAAAAGCATGGAGGAGACAGACCCTCTTGTGAGCAGCCTTGGAAGCCATGTCGAGCGATGTGGTAGGAGAGCGACGAGAGGGAGACTGTCTTGTCTCGGACGGTGGTGGTTTTGGTGGAGATGGGGCATCAGGAGAGCCGAGATGCATGGGCCGCCGGCGCCACGTGCGTCTCACGTGCAAGAACAGAACAACCCCTCGGGGAACGCCCGCCGGTGATCGTCATCCAGGACTGCGCTCGAACGGCCATGGCGCTGCCCACCCGGGGTCGAGTAATCATCGACACGACAGCAGGAGAAATCGACATTGAATTGTGGTCGAAAGTGCGTCTTCAAAAAAATTATTTGTTGCGCCTGAAGCCCACGCCAGATGACCAGGAAACACCAAAGACATGTCGCAACTTCATTCAACTTGCGATGGAAGGTGAGCGCAATCCTCTTGCCAACGTCCTCGTTGTGACCCTGAGGCGCAATATCAGGATACTATGACGGCGTTATCTTTCACCGGTGCGGCTCTTGCTTCTCGAATCATGACTGTGTGATGGCTCACAGCTACGCAGCATAGTATCCAACTTCCTCGTACAGACTGGCGACAAGACGGGTACTGGAGGCGGTGGAGAGTCCGTATACGGAGGCACGTACTTTAACACCGCCATCCATGTTGCTGTGCTTAGTCTTTGCGTTGTAGAACCTTTCGAGGATGAGATCCATCCGCGTTTGCGCTTTGCCCATCGCGGGCTGGTCGCCATGGCGAATAACGGCACCAAGAACTCGAATGACTCGCAGTTCTTCGTCACTCTTGGTCTGTCTTGCTTTCACTATTTCAAGATACAGGTGTTCACGAGAATTGTTCCAGACAGAGCTGATGAGTTGCACGGAAAGCACACACTCTTTGGTCGGGTAATCGGTGATACAATCTACAGTAAGGCATGCAGCTACTTCCATTCTGACCGTAACTAAGAACATTTGCTGTAGATGTTTTGAAAATTGGTGGCATGGGTGAGCCCATCTGTTAGCTCATCTGTCTACCACAGTGATTGACTTTGCTAGAGGTTGATGAGAATGAGCGCCCATTATAGTATGTCTGTCTAGTCATCCGGCCAAAAATCCCGCTGACTTGGTTTACAGTCCACCAAAGATCAAGACGATACGGATAGCCGACAATCCTTTCCCAGATATCATCCGCGGATTACCGCTGAGGAGAAGCGAGCCCAGCAACGAGCGCGCGAACAAGCTCAGCGTGAACGGGAAGAGGAGCAGCGGCGACGAGGAGCCAAAAAGTCAGTTTGCTCGGCAGCTACGGGATGCCAGTCTTATGATCTTTCCTTGCAGAGACGTCAAGCTCTTGAGCTTCGGTGCTGATGAAGGCGCCGAGGAGGAACCTATACTAATCAAGAAGAAGCCAATCGTCCGTCCTGACCGTGCGTCAATCATTTTGGCTGAGTCCGCTGTTTCTGAATAGGTGCTCTATCTGTAGTGGTCGATGTCGAGCCGCCGACGCCCTTGACAGCTGTCCCAGGCCTGCCGCCCAAACAGAAGCCTTCCAAACCGAAGGACACCCCGGTCCCCGCACCTGATGCTGACAACCCCAGGAAACCCTCGCGGACGGACGGCGATGACATAACGAAGATCAGGGAGAGACATGCCCAGGAAAAGGCAGCAGCAAGGTAAGGTTTCCGTCAGCAGACCCGCGAATGCGTGCGTGCACGCCCGCTTGGCTGACGTACGACCCCTCAGCACCTCGCGCCAGTCCGAGATCGAGAAGATGGAGGCCGAGATCAGGAAGCTGTCGCGCAAGGCGCGCGGCGAGGACAGCGACGACGACGACGAGCGTGCGAAGAAGCGGCCGAAGAAGTCGCTCCTCGAGGAGGAGATGGCCAAGTACGCGGGCGCGCGCGGCGTGCACAAGAAGACCAAGGACGGCAAGCGCGCCAAGGGCGAGGACGACGTGCTCGCCGCCCTCGAGGGCTTCCGCTCCAAGCTCAAGCTTAAGCGCATCGCGCCCGGGTCTGAGGACGGGCCTGCAGAGGAGAACGTTGCCAAGGGCGAGGATGCCGCCGTGCTTGGCGAGGAGGACCCTGGGGTGGAGGTCGATGACGACACCGGATTCCTGGGCCATGCGCTGCATTTCCCGAAGGACAACGCTGAGGAAGTCTTGAAGGCTGAGCGTGACTATGAGGTAATCGACCCGCGGCAGCGAAGCGCGAAGGCGAAAGAGGAGGTCAGGGAAAAGCGAAGGGTGGTCCGGCCGAGGGACGGTGGGCGTGGTTCCAGGAGATACTGAGCGCGCGCGTTGCCTCGCAGGTGGGATCTGTTGTGTTGGTCTTGTGCTCACTGAGGTCGTCGTCGCGAATGTTCCAATGTGTCTCATTTACATATTGTTGCTAGTGAGCGTCCCGAGCTTACGACGAGTTTTCGCTGCTCGCCTCTCAGGCGCGCGAGAGCGCATGCCCGGGTTGTACGTGTCACCCGACGACCGTCGCGACCGAGTGCGAACTTGTGCACGGCACGAAACGGCTGTAACGACTATCGCGACATTAGAACAAGACAAGCCGTACCTTAGAGCAAAGTCTCGCATTCAGGTATATAATTTCCCTCGGTCTGCGTCATGATTTCTATATGGTACGTCGCGTCAGGTGCCTGTGCGATGATGGCTTGGACGTTCGCCAGACGTTTCGCTCGCTATCATCAGGAACAATTCCCGGCCCGCCACAATCTGCTTCCAGGAACAAATTGGCCACCACCCACTTCCTTGGGACCGCCGCTCTCATCGCTGCGAAGCGTCACCATGTTTCCTTTCAACGGCCTGTGCAGTGTGCAACTCGGAGGCCCCACCACAGGAAACACCCTTTCCCCGTCATTCCTCCGTGAGTACGTGTACGTGTACAAACCCTACTTTCGCGATCCCAAGATGCTCACCTTCGTCCGAACCCTTCACAGAGCACCGCTTCGTCGAAGCTCATCATAAACCGTGGGTATTTCGCTTTATTTGCGGGCATGGCCTTATATGGATCAGGTTTCAATCGATAGTCGCACACGGGCTTCCATTCGCCTCCCGCCGCGTTCGGACGAGGGGGGGTTGCAGGGCACCTTGGAACTTGAGGGCTGCCTCCAGGCGGGCGCGTGGCGGCCAAGGGTCCCGCCTTCGCGATCTCCTCTGGCGAATTGCCCGTTCTCGAGATAGCCTTCGCTCGCCCGCGGCCGTGGCCATCTCCCCTCCCCACCGCGCATCCACCCGTTCGGGCAGTGCGTGCCAGCCCTCGGAGGCACAGGCCCGCGCGGCCGCGAGGCGACAGCCCCCGGCAAGTTCCCCGCCCAACCCCCTCCCCCGCCTTCTCACTGTGTCCGTCCGTCCCGCTGGGCGACTTCGCCGCGGCGTCCGTCGCAGCATCCTTGGCACTGCGCATTTTTTCTTCCCACTGGTGTTGGTGAGATCGCGGGGATACCTCGCGGGGGATGCCGCTCCTACTGCTGCTGCTGCTGTTGCTATTTGCTGCTCGGCCGCCTGCGTCTGTACGAGAGACATCGTCCCAAGGGCTGATATGAACGCGAACTTGCGGTGCCGCTTATCTCGGTGTTCTTCGGCTCGATGCGCGGGATGCAACGTCAGCATCTTCGGCCGTCAACTCGAGCTGAGCCCCCCTTGCGTCGTGTGTTCCGATACCGGCGGCCCGCCGTCACTCGTCTGGACGGCCCTGGGCAGTGGAGTCATCCGGAGAATACACTGCATCAGCCGACCAGGCCTCGCGCGCACGGAACTTGGCCAAGCGGGCATGTCGTGATCCGTCTCGTGCTCACAGCCATGATATCCTTTCTTTTGGTGTGTTTGCAGTGCCATCGGGGGCCGGCTGCGTTTTGGGAGGTGTCTTTTCTCATGCCACTCAGCCCGTGGGTTCGTCTTTGTCTGAAAGCGGCAGTATGACAATTATCTATAGGTTCTTGGCGATGGGCAGGTCTCAGCGATACGCTCGTTTGTGAGCTATGTATGGCAATTCCTAGGACGGCACGCCATTATCACCGGCAGGTGGGTGTCTTCACTTTGGCTGTCCTTGGCAGAGGAGCTGAGGAACCTTAGATAGTGGTTGTACTGTTGCCACCAGAACTAGAACTTATGAGATGAGGTGGTGCTAATAAGTAGCTGTCTGCGCAATATTTGCGCAATGTGATTGTGACGAAGACGAGGCGGCCTAGGGAGAACGGAGAGGCGGGATCCTGAGGACTTTCCTAAAGTGGACTCCGGTGGCGCTAGCTCCACAACGCCTCGCGATATGACAGGCGCCCGGGTCGAGCTTCTCTATGCCCTGCGCTCACGCAATGAAGTTTCCTGTTTCGACACCGGCCCGAGACCGTTTCATTGATTTATCCAAACCCACTCAATAATCCGTTCTGTTATTTCGTGAGACCGAATTGCTGCCTTTAGAGTCCGAGCAGTCGTAGGTCTCAACCGTCCCTGCTAGGCTCGTCATCACACCAGTCCGAAGGGCCAATGAGGTTCCAAACTGTTCCAAACCAAGTTCTGTCAAAGTCCACCTTGGCCAGCAGGTTCGAATCCGGCAACTGACTTGCCCGGCGCGCAATATCACTCGACTTCTCACGTGTAATCAGTCCAGACAGGGTCGAGCCAACCTGACCACGTCTCGCACTGTCTATCAACGCTCTCCATCGGACTAGCCAGAGGAATTGTGCTGGACTGTGAGAGCGCTGTACTCTGCATTAAGAGGGCCCTGGCCTGCTCATCGTTGGTGGCTGAATCCTGAAGCACACGCGCCTGGCCATCCCGGCGTGACGTGACTGCAATAGATTCCCTTCCCCCCGAGGTCGTCGGCATTCCCACTGCAGAAATATGAGGGGCACTGCTCGCCCTGGGTGCAGTTGCCGCAGGGTGTGTGCAGTCGCCGACGCCGAGTGGGCGCGCGACTCAGGCCCGCTCGACGGCCGTGGTTACTTCGCGGGTGTTACGGAGAATCCTGGTTGCTGTCTACACACCTGCGGCTCCGAGCGGCATGCTGCGGCCTCTGAGGGTCTTGTGAGACATGCCTCTGGGGGACGTTTCCTCCCACAGCGACCCCGGTTCCTTGGTACGGGACTAGCGAGCGTGCGCCCCGTCGCCTTGGCAGGCCTTGACATCGCAGGTTGTGCGTCTCTGTTCCCGCCCTCTGCACTCACGTTCTAGGTCTCATTTGTATTTCGGGTCGCTGTGTAGCTGAGGTGGCTGCACGCCCGCCACGGTGGTGAGTGCAGACCTGCGGGCGCTTCCCACCGACACTCACGCAGATGACAGGCGCGGACACGTTCGAGGAGGCTTTGGGTATTGCCAAGTCTGGACTTAATGATGTTTGGACGGTATGATAGTTGTACTCCAGGTACTACTCCGGCGAGTTACCATATTGACTTCATACAATCCGCGATACAATCGCAGATCGCCTGCTTGACACGGGCGGTCGACATTGATACGAAGTAATCACGACTTCGGAAGCTAGGTCCGCGACGCGATAAATGCTTCTCATGCGGCTATACCTCGCAAAAAACCCACGACCGCAGCACTATCCTTAGCTTGGCCTTAGCCTTTCCATTGATTTTGTCGTACTGAACTACAGTGTGAGCGCGCCCATCAAGACCTGTCACGAAGCCAGCTATGCGCTAACTTTTGCTGACCGCCTGCGCAATGTTGACTTGTCCAGGAAGCCAAATCGCAGCAGTTGATGGGGGGACAGCGGAGCAAAGGTGGGGTGTAAGCAGCTACGGCACAGCCCAGTCACCGCTGCGACTATACAGTCCTCCCTGGACTCTGCCACGGTGCAAGTCCCGCGTCGCAGGGTGGACCCTCCGCAGGCCGACGTCGGTCTTATTGCTCTCAACGCACCCCCCTTGTTGTTACCGACTGTTGTTGCTGCGCGCATGCCAGTACATCACTCGCGTCGCGCAGCCTCGCTACGATCTTCCTGCGTGGGACCTTTGGAGTGATAGCGTTCATGTCTGAGATTGCGGTACCGTCAGTGCCAGTCGCTACTCCATCTCTGCATTTTTCCCCACGCCCGTCACGAACAAACGCACTCAACGATTTGCATATTTTTTAACACAACAGGCGACCGAAGTCGGAGCCAGAGCGCGAGGATACCGATGTGCACAGCACTCCGCACTGTCTGCCTCGTACTCCTGCATGCATCGGACCTCGCGGGCACCGTGCACTCGCCCGCCGAGCCTGCAAATATACCACGGGTGATCAAGTGGCTCGCCGGGGAGGATGATCTTCTCACGATAGCGCTTAGCAGGGCAAGCGTTGCGTGTCTTCGCCGCCTCGCATCGTGGCCTGCTCTGCCGTTTCCTGCCCTGGTGATCGCCTGCACGAGCATCTCGAGCAGTTGCGAGACGGCGACGGGGACCACGAAACGAGCTAATTTGTCGTTCGTGCGCATGCGAAGGGCCGTGGGACGCAGAGCGTGATGAACTGCCCGTGCTAAGCTGTTGCGAGCAGAAAGCAGACAGCGCGTGCGCCTGTCTCCGCCGTGTGGGATCACGCAGGCCTCCCCTCAACTTGCCCAAACCCGGGCTGATGCGCTCCCAGCAACAATTCCTGTGGTGTGACGCCACCAGATGCGGGGACAAGAGCCAGGGAGGCCTACCGCTCCTGGGGGTCTGTGCGACGTCCACATGTCGCGTCGTAGCACTTTCCCTCGAGAGTCGATGCCCGCCTGGCTCGAAGGGGCGTAGCATGCGGGGGGCAGCGCAGGAATAGGCTTCGGCAGAGACATTCTATCAGCTGTTCGTGTCACGCAGCGGAGAGCATTTCTGTCTCTCGCTTCAGCACACCAGCCCCACTCGCTTTCTCAGGCAAGGGCACGAGCCCTGGTTCTCCACCGCAGAGCGCCTCGTGCACCCATTCCTGTCGTTCATATGGACATGAAACTGGCCATTTGGGTGGGGAAGGTCGCGCACGCGCATTGGCGTGAGAGGGGCAGAGCATAGCATTCGGATAATGATTCGAATAATGTAACGGTGTATTGCGAGTATGCCGACTGCATTATCTACAATAATACACTAAATGTGGTGCAAAGCCAGGGTGTTCATGGCGTGAGGAAATAGTAGTAATAATAGTGTATGCCGAGCCATGTGCGTCAGAGGTCGTGAACGTAACCGGGGCAAATTGTAGTAATAAAGATACATGCAGTGTGGGATGCGATGGGGAGCCACGATGAGGTGGGTATAGATGCGGGTATAGTCCAAACAGGGTTCGTGCCAGTCGCGGATCTGGAGAACGTGGCGGTCATGACTCGAATCCGTACTCGACAGCAGCCCTGCAAGCCTCGCTTGCGGAAGAGACCCGCGCGTGTTCGCGAAGGCTCTGCTGTGTCGGGAAGTCGCTGTCGCAGGCGGAGCAGGAGTGGGAGCTCAGGCTGCGGTGTGACTTGCCCATTTGTTTTGAGTGGCGTGACATCTGCGGAGGCAGGTCGTAATGAGGGCCTGGGTAAACACAGCAAGGAGCAGGCGGACACTCACCATGTCATCAGCCAGTCTGCGCTTGGTGAGGGACACACCAGTTTGTGCTGGGGACTCCACTGTATGAGCAGGATAAAAGTCAGCAGATACCCACGCGGAGCCGACGGAAATGAACATACCAAATGCCCCTAGAGCTTTTGCAGCGCGGTCCCGCCAGGCAAGGACGCGCTTCAACCTTGTACCGTACGTGTCATCGTAGCAGGCACGGGTGGCCTCGTCGCCCTCGTCCGAGGAGCAGTACGAGGACACGGCAGACTCCTCGTCTTCGTCGCTAACGGACTCTTCGGAGCACGACTCGGTGTATGCAGACGAGGAGGGGACAGAGCTTGTGGTTATGGTGGACGGATGGGGAGCCGGAGGGGGCGCGGAGACCTCTACGAGTTGGATGACTTCGTGCTGGCGGTAGTAGACGGGTCCGGGTCCGGTGGCGACCTTTGGGGAACAGTCCATAACGGGGGGTGGGATAGGGATGGCTCGGTGAGAGAAGTAGTTAGAGCAGGCGAAAGCATCGAAGGCCAAAACGTCGGCCATTGCTGTTGTCAGCGACGGCGAGGAGGAGGGGGCGGTGGGGGAACTGGCGGGAGAGAGGGAGGCATATTTAAGCAGTCCGGTGAGAGAGAGAGGCAAAGAGGATCGGTGGGCGCGAAGCGAGGCTTGGCTCAGATCCGAAATTGCGAGGCGCCAGGAAATCAAGATAAAAACGAAACCCAAGTTTGCATCTGAGATTCGTCCAATTCTGGCTTCCGATCAAACGCCCGATGCCTCTCAGGCGCTCGCATTTCCATCGGGGATTCCGCGGTGCCTTCTCACAGAGGTGAGAGAGCTCTTTCCATATCCGGCACATCTGCAGAGCTCTGTTCTCACCGCGCTTGTCACATCCCCGCTGTGACGAGCTCCAGCCGCAACGTCCGTCTGCTGTGAAACTACACGGGGCCCAAGCTTCCAGATATTCACATCGTCGTCTTCCTGATTTCCCGGCGGTGCCACCTGGGAAAGCCCAAGCTCTTTGGCTTCGAAATCCTCCGCAACAACCATAGGAGTTGTCCGAGCGCGACCGCCAGATGTCATGCCGATGAATTCGTCAGCGAAATAAAAAAAGTAAAGCCTATGTACTGCCCCAGTATGTGCGTCAAGAAAGGCTGTGCCTCACACATCCATGCTCGCCCGGGAAAGCATGGTGTGGGCGGTGTGACCCCTGAGCCTTAGAACATGATGCCCGAAGGCGGCGACCTTGTGTCATCGACTCAACAGCTATCACCTAAGGTCGCATGGGTGCCAGCCACGCCTCAGCCGCCTCGAACTGATCTACCAGTTCCCGCAGGACCGCCCCCTCCGAATGCAACTGCCGCATGGCGGTCAGCGTCTGCAGTGCATGAAAAAGCGACAGACAGTGAGAACATTGGCCTGTTTCCAGCAACGAAAAGCGCGACTTACGACGTCCCAGAAGCGGAAGCCACGCTCTACTTCTTGTTTCGGATTCTTAACACCGGAGAACGTCTCCTCGCAAATTTCAAGGGCCATCGCCTTGGCCTCCTTGACGCCTTCGGCGTTGGGATCTCGCACCCGCTGACGGTTGTTGATGTGCGTCAACGCATCCAGGTAGACCTTGGCAAGCACGCCGAATCCCGTGTTCACTTCGCTTTGGAAGGGAAGCGACAGGTTGATGTCCAGCAGGTCTTCTCGCGACTGCTTAGCGTCCCGACGGACAAGCGCGTTCAGCGACGTGACCTCCAGCAGTGTGCGCAATGCCCGCGTGAGCGAACGGATGAAAGAGTTGAACACAAGCAGCTCCCGTGACAGTGGCGCAGACCACGGCTGCGGCTACGCACGACGGAACCGAAACGGAGGATTGAATGTTCCAAGGGGTAATTGGCCACAATTGGAGGGAAACGGGATATCATTAGCACGCAGGCCTTGTGTGAGAAAACTGACGTACCTTGAAGCTCAGTGGGACGATACTAAGCACACGCATCACTAAGAGCATGCATGACTTCTCGTCATCTGGTTTTATCACGGCGAATAGTCAGCCAAACGAGTCGCTACGCCATGTGTGAAAATCCCGCCTCACCGGTTCCGAAGCTCGGTCCCCCGCTAGACGCCCTGCCAGACCAAAGGTGGCCGTGCATGACGCCCGCCCTTACCAATTCCAAGAACAAGTACAACGAGTCCTGAAATTTGTCGTTCACACGCGCAGTCTTGATCGCGACATACATCGCCCGCGCCAGGGGCGAGTGCGTGTGTGTGTTAAGCAAAAAGCTGCAGATGTTTCCAGCCGTCCCCGAGGGCAACGGTCAAACGTTCAAAATCAGTCCTGGGAAGACCGTAACAGGCATGTCATGCGGCTTACCCCCTTAGCTCGAGGAAGCGCCAAATTACGTTTGCCACCAGTTCATCTTTCTTGTCCAGTGGCACCAGAGTCTGGCCAGCCTTGACCTTAGTGCGTGCTGCCAACTTGTCAGACACCGTCGCCCCAAGGCACAGTGCAAAGTCAATGGTGGACGACTAAATGAAAATGAAACGATACGGTTTTAGATTGGGGTCCCGTATGCGCAAAGGGGCGACCGCAGTCTAGACTCACATTCTGTCTCCTCAGCTCCTCTTCCACGATCGAATACGGCACATGCCACCCAACGACGCGTTCGGCCAGCTGCACAGTCTGCTGCGAATTGTGTGCGATCGGTTTCTGCTGACTCTGCTCGAACCAGAACTGCGGAACGATGTTTCTCTTAGCCCAGAATGGATTCAGGACGCTCGAGACCAGCGCAAGCGCCGTGGCCCTCGGACCCGTCTGTCCGTCGGTAATTACTTCCTTGATAAAACGACGGTACTCCGTCGTCTCACCATTATCGAGCGGGGGCTGCTCGATGACCTGGTAGCTCGTCAGCCAGACGAGCGCCTGCGGACCCAGTAGTCCTCGCGATAAGTAAAAGTAGATCTCGTCAGGGAGGCGGTGTGTGAAGATGTCGTGAAGATCGACCGGAATGTCAGCCGCTGTTGGATGATGGTGGTGTCCCGAGTGCCCATGCGGCTGTGGGTTAGGGCTCGCGAGCGGGAGCGGAATAACAGTGCCTTCTGAAGATAAGACGAGCGAATATTTGATCATCGAACGGGTCCTGGCATACTGGTCGGTGTATTGCATCTGCTTCACCTGCGGCTGCTCGGCGAAAGCGGAGACAGCGGCATGCCCAGACTTGTAGTATTTGATCATGTCGACTGTAGCCTTCAAGGCCTGATCGTGCACTGTGGGCGGGAAAGGAGGTGAGTGTTCAAAGCCGAGCAAGATCCCCAGATCGAGGAACTGGTCCTCAGTAAGGCTGAGGTCGTTCAGGATCGCTCGCTTGGTAACATGGGTGAAGGTAGGGTTCGCCGACGTAAGATCGAGGGACGTGACGAGCTTCTCAAGGCCAGGATAGAGTAGCGTGTCTGTTGGTCCATAGATGGCGTGGATGTATGCCTTCGGGTGTCGTTGCAGGTAGATCAACTGAGAGCGTCACACGAAAAAAATGAGGTTGTGTACGGAAGCGTAGCTTCTGGGTGACGTACTTGTGCCCAAGCGACATATGGTGCGACAATGAACTCCACATTTCGATGTCTGAAAATCCTCAGGACCATCCTCCAGAGGTCCCACTGGTGCAGTCCGCCACGCGTCTCAAAGAGCTTGGTTGCCGCCTCCTCCTGCCCTGCCTCGTACTTCGCCCACGCCTCGCGCCTGTCCCTCATGGCTTCATTTTGTTCATACTGTAGCTGTTGGTTATATTTTCCATTACGCTTCGGGAGCAGTCCAGGGAAGACGAAGACAGGCTTGATGCGTAATTTTTCCAGCACGCGCAGGTCAGCTTCAATACGCTGAGTTAGGGCTAGCGGAAGCCCGCCAGTAGCAGCCAGCAGCGGCTCTCGTGAAGGGGGAGTTTCCGTGAGTTGTGTCAGGTAGTATGAGGCATCAATACCCAATCGTGAGTCCGTAAGAACCGAAAGCGGGTGGGTCTGCAGGTGCTTGCGTTCCGAGAGGTAACCTGGTGGGTTACTCTATTCAGTATAAAAGTTATGAAGGGTACGCTTTAGCTGTGCCCACCGTCCAGGTTTTTGATCGTCATCCTGTCGTAGAAGCTGGCGTTGGCGAGGGGTATAGTCGTCGCTGTCGTTGTCGTGCACCGCCGTTCACGGCTGTACGACCTCGTGGGAGTGATTATGTAATCAGCCCATTAGGCGGGAAACCTCAAACTATTCGTCTCGTCTAATTATTTCGACAAGTTTCCCTATGCACTTCTGGAGTTGCGCATATTTGGTCATGCATATCTCCGACCTTCGTTAGAGATATAGCAGAGTTCTGTTTGCCTTCTGCTGATGTGGTCCTTGTCAGGGTGTGCGAGTCGTGGTGAGTTCTGAATGGTGAGTTCTGACGAACCTAGGCACCTTTTCCTTGCGCCGTCTCACACCTAGGGGAACATGCCAGGTATATCGGGATGTAGTAGCACGTTCATGAGATCTGCATCAGTTATCTCTGTGTTAGTTGTGTCGGCCTGGGCGTTCCCTGTGGAAGAGACCCTGGGCGCAGCGGCTGAAACCAACCAACGCAGCGAAGCTGAGCGCGCCGGCGTAGCTCCAGTTCTTGGCTGGCTCCAGACTAGGCCTGCCTTTGACCTTGAACCCTTAAACCTTCCAAAGACATGAAAGTTCTGAACTTATGCCGTCAAACACAACGAAGTGCTACCTCGCTTCAAGTAACTCGTAAAATGTCGCCAGACCCCCACCGGTTCATTTCAAGCATAGGAGCTACGAAGGTAAACACATGCTACACCCTCCGTCATTAAAGGGGATTCACATTGCCACTAAGTATGAAATTCTTCCACGCTACATGCCAGGCCAGGTCTACCGTTTTTCTTGGTTCAACCGCGCACGATGTTCTGCTCTTGCGGAGGCGAATATCGGCCGTGCTGACCGCAACCGCATGCACGTACTGTGAGTAAAAGCACCCATGTCCAGTCTTAGCCGCGCCTTTTCTCATGTAAAGCACGACTCTCCCACTGGCTGTCGCGCAGTGATGCCAGCTGACGTTCCAAATGCGGATATGACCTAGGTTATCCCCTGCAGTACCCACGCTGCATCAGGTTGCGGGTCAATCCAGCATCTCGATTATTGCGGTTCGTCATGCTAGCAGATCTCCTTGCTTCGCACCGGCCATGCTTTACTACTTCAGGCAACAACGAGCTTTATCCTTGACCCGGTCCCGTGCAGAACTTTCTCGTATTGGGTGAAACTCCTCCAGCGATGCCACCTTCAAGACCTGTCCATCAGCTTCACCGTCCGGACAAAGATGCGATCATGTTGTCTACAGGGGTCTCCCGCTGGCTTTGGGCGACGCACAGGTTTGCAATGGCACACTGGATCAAGTTGCCGGAGTCCTGATCAGCGCAGGCCGTTCTGGTTACTTCCACCCTGCATGCGTCTCTGGCGTGCCCGCTGCTCATACATCCAAGCCCTCGAGCGAAGTAATCCGACTATCTGGACGCTTCCTGCGCTGCTTAATCCCAATGTATGCGATCGTCACAGCACCGGACGCGTTTCGAAGATGATAACATTCCTTCTCTATCCTCTCATTCGTCTCATCGATACTGGCAACGTTTCATTTCACTAGCCGCCGGCACGCTGACACCTGCTGTAGAAGCTTCGAGGCTATCGTACCTACCGCTCAGGCCTCAGGGCTGAAATGATTTGTAGTGGCGCATGTCAGACGTGATATGTTTGATCTGCTTGTCTCCAAAATAACATGTCCCGAGCATCGCGAGAGCCTTAGGGACCGGGTATGCTGGACACTTGGTGCCCGTCAACGAGGGCCCGCACCCATGCGGAATCTTTTGACCAGCCCTGCACTGTCGCCGTTCTACCATGCCGCCCAACGGCTCGGGTCGCCGCACCACATGGAAAACATCCGCACCGCTGGGGGAAGGCTCGGCGCTGCGGCTGAGTATGCAGCTTGGCACTCCGCAGACTCTCGGATGATTTTGCGGCGGCATGCGTGACTCAACAGCGGCCGCTACTTGTCCCCGCAGACCGGTAGGCTTGAAAAACGCTGACGCGGGAACCTCGAGAAAATGCCGGATGTGCCACTTCGGGGCAAATACACTTCTGTGCGGGCTCGGCAAAGCACACAAGCAGCGGCATCGCGCTGCGATGACGAAGTCACGACGTTGATATCATCAGCCGTGCTGGTACCCATGAAAGGCGCGCCGCCTTCCACGCTCTAGGGTCATCGAGCGTCGATGACCTCGGGGCGTTTCACAGGACGCATCTCTGATGAGCCGACTTACAGAGCTTCCGCTCAATAGATGTGCACGGCACCGACATCCGGGTGATCTGCTGTCGCTCGATTTATCCACCGAAGAATAACAGGCTGTGCCAAGTTCCGTTCATACCGCCCGGCTGGCCATGGAAACTTGCACTCTTCCCGAATGCACTGAATCTGAACCTGAACGTGAGTGTCCTTGGTGTACCATAAGACCGTAAAGCGCACTTTAGGCAGAACAGCCGCTGCGCTCGACAATAACGAGCTTCTCGGGGCTTCCGTGAGAGTCACAAGTGAGGTGCATAGTACGGACATTGCCTGCGGTGCCACACGAACGCAACAACGCCAATGTGACATCTCTTGAGAATGGCCGAATTACCACTTGGAGCACTCGAGGACGACGGGTGACACGAATCACAGTCACCATCGAAGTTAGCGTGACCACCCGGTTTCCTGTGAACTTTTCACTGCATTTCGTATATACGAAGTAACCAATCTGGTGGCGAGCGGGTCAGCATCAAAAGAAGCATTGTCTGTCGTATGCACTCGCCTATGTATAGGGTTAGCTGTTGCTGTCTTCGTCGAGCCTGAGCGGGAGAGACGCAACGCCAGACACATGCTCAACTTGAACTGTGAGAACGCGGCTAGAAGCGACATATGGCCATCGCAGGGTCATTCGAAACTCGTCAGTCTCGGCGAACCTAAGTTATTTTCGTTGTCAATAGCAAGCATGGTGCGGAAAGTATAATTTGGCTGGAAAGTGTACCTCCGCCCTTGAGCGTGGGTTACGATGGATACGGGTATGTTGGCATACCAGTCTGGCCGAACCCACATGGTGCGAATCCCCACCAGAAGGTTGCCATGCTGTGAAAGATTGCGCAGCTCGCGCGACAGGAACATCGCAACCTGGCTCAAACTCATAAGCTAGAAGATACCAAGAGTGGAGCAAAATGAATCCAGGAGAACGTGACTTGTTGGAGATAGCTTGTTGAACAGCGGATGTTGCTGATATGTTCTCATAACGCGATATCCGTGGGAGGGAAAAGAGCTTGTCATAACAAGTCGCAGTCGGTAGTCGTGTATCAAGTCTGTTCCGTTGCAGGGTGACGTAGTGAAGCTTCGAAGCCCTGGATTAGTAGTGACAACATAAGATAGTATTACTCCGAAACACATGCTAGCAGATAGAATAACCTGCATACTGGGACTATCAAGTTGTGGGGGGTTTCGAGTCATGAGCACATCGAACAGGGCGAATCGTCTGCAGATGTGGTGCTCATCCCCCCAATGGATGAAGCAACGGCGTCGAGCAGAGTGACACGAGGCGATATAGAGTTCTATTAGAGATAGCATACAATCTGGCAAACTTTGACGCAGAGGTGGTCATAGTTTGAGCTGCAATCTCATCAGCACGGTCATCCCGCAACCAGTTCGACCAAGAGGTGACTTGCGTGCTCATCCTGGTCATGCACATAACCATTCGTAAGCTCTTGAGCGTGCCTTCTACTGCGCTCGGCTCCGGCATTGACCACTGCCAGCCCGACGGCCTTGTGGCGCGACTAAACGTCCTAGCCTTCGCGACGGCCAGCCCAGCGGCGCAAGCGATGCCTTGCGTCTTCGGCATGGGGTGCGTGACACAGCTGAGTACCTACACAGTGCCTGCAGCCTGCAGGATGTGGTCAGCCACTCGCTCTACGCAGGTCTTGACGATAGGCGGGCATGAGCGAAGATCAGTGCGCAGATCAAAAGGCACAGGTCTGGACGGGACGGAGCTCTTGACGGCGCCTGTTCTCGTCGTAAAGTCACCTCTTACCAGGACCGTCATCTCGAAGGGAGAATGTCTGCGATATAATCCCTGCAACACGTCCTGCGCACGCCTCTTTTATCCTACTAGCCGACGCTTGTTAAATTCGATTATATTCGACCGACTTTTTTTTCGACCTGACAACGCGATCATTCACACTCATTCCGCAACTATAATGAAGAGCTGCTTGAAGTGCACCACCGACGCGCACCACCGCGACAGGAATTCTCCTCCTCCCGACTCGCCCAGCGAGCAGGGAAGCGACTGCGACGTGCCCATCATGGACAGCATGCAGCGGCGGAAGTCGGTGGCCTTCTGCGAGGTTGGCGAAGAAGACATATTCTATGCGGACGATTGGGATCGGTCGCCGGCAGCAATCACACAACGTCTTACCTACCAGTGAGTGTCGCCCGTTCTCGCAGCGGGCTGCAAGTATTCACGCGCTTTTGCGGCCGCTAGAGACGTCTACGAGCTGAAGGAGTTGCGAATAGCCCTGCCGCGGATCCAGCTCGCCAGGCGCAAATCTGATTCATGACCACGCACGCTGCCTTCCGCGCAGGCACGCTGAACAGGCCCCATGGCTTTGCCACAAGCGGGGTACGACGCTGCGCCGTCGTCGCCCTCTGCATCGCATCACGCACAGCACGGACTTTGAGCATAGAGACATTTTCGGAGGGGGTGGGAAACGGACACTTTTTTGGACTCTCGTAGACGGACTTTGCAATCTCCCATCATCGCCAACGGACACTCACTCGATCGTTTTGCAGCATGTTTTCTTGCGGGTGCTGGGCAACTTACCCCATTTGCATTTTCTTTTTCGCACTCCAGGTGGAGCTTTCACCTCGTACGCTCGTTGACACTCGTAATCGCACTCGTACTTTACTACATAGGCACACACGCAACACAATTAATACCTCACGCGTGCATACGCCGGTATCCGCGTTGTACCTGTCTTTTTCGTTTACGTACACATTAAGGAGATTCTCACCAGTGCACTCGTCCCAATGTCTCGGTTGTTTTGTGATGACGTCTCCATTGAGGCACAGTAAGGCAGTCACAGCTAAGGCCCTGGCTGTACCATATGAACTCGTTTCGGGAGGCAGCATATGCATAGCCCGACAATGCCATTGAAACAATTAAGACTAGCCTAGCGCTTCGGGCCCCGCTGAGGCGCAGAATGCGGGTCTAGGGCTGCCAGCTAAAAGGGTATCGTGGCTTTTAGCAGTCCTCCAAACGCTCCTCATTCCGGAGTGCATCGCGAGAAAGCAACCTCCGAGCACTCGACGGGCGCGCGCGCACGCGCGTTCTAATTCTGTCCGTGGGTACGCAGAGGCCAGCAGAAGGCGTCGTGAGAAGCCGCGGCTCGGCGCGATGGCGCGAGCTAAGATGGGGCCCATTGAGGTGAGACGCGTTGAAAATGTCGAACAAAACGAGCACATACACCAGCGACTGCTCCGTAGTGTGCAGCGTTAAGTTCCGCTCCTTCTAGAGGTGGCGTGCTCCGCGTGAGAGGTTTCGCAGCGCGAGCGCCCCTCTGGAACAACACTCAGACAAAACGGGGAGAGCTCGCCTTTCATGAGGCGTGAGAGGCCCGACACGGACTCCAAGCACCTGAAAAAAAAATTCCGGGGCTGGCGGCGCATGATACATGACGCCTAGAAGGTGCCAGACTGGGAGGCGCGCCCGCATGCGGGAGTTGATGGGACGAGACGGAAGGGAGAGGAAGAGGGCATCCTGAGAGCTGCTGCCACGGCACGCGCCCGCGAGCTGTCATCTCCTCGGAGTGACAGGCTCGTCGTGGTGGCGTGACTCGTGACCCGCGTCGCGCTCCGCTCGCTCGGGCGTCCGTCGCGCGCACACGGGAAGGTGGGAACGCAAGGGAACGCAAAGGGACGCAAGGGCCGCTATCGGATGGCCCCATTGCGAGATAGCGCACGCTGCCCGCGCCGCGCCGCGTCTCGTGCTGGGGCCTTCGCCTGCTCTGGGGAATTGTAGAGGCTTCGGACATGGCGGCCGAGCGCCACTAGTTTAGCTGAAGACAGAGGCGCACGGTCTCACGCCGCGCGCGAAAGGCGAATTTATCGTGATCTACGTGCGTCAGCGAAGTCTCGTCCCGCGAAGCACGCACCGGAGCACTTGGATATTTTCAGGCGACGGGCATGGCGAGGCGCCGCAAAGTGAATCTGCCGTAAAAGTTCCAAAATGTCGTCACAGAGGGTCGAGCGTCCAGAGCTTTAGCGGCGGGCTAGTATGAGAAGGTATTCTCATCTTTCCCTTGCCTCATCATAGCAACAAAATCCAAGCGTTAGATTTCTGCAGCTGGTGCTATGGATTATA